CAAAAAAAAAAAAAAAAAAAAAATGGAGAGAACGGCCAGAAAGGACAAGCCTTAGATCTAGTCTATCTGGATTTTGGCCACAAGTGTAAAGGTTTCCTACTCACAAAACAGTGACTGAGAACTTGAACAAAGTTTATAGGAGTATCCTCCAGGCTGAAGTCAGTTCATTTACTGGAGTGGTTTGATTAGTCTCTTTGACATATGGCCCCGCCCAGCTGCTGTATGTGCCAACACACCCTATCTATGCTCTACACACCCCTATTTCTTTCTCCCTAAGCCTGTGACAAGCACACAGATGTACTTTGTCAGTGCCTAGAATACAGACCCAAGCACATATGATCTGGAATCATTCCATGGCAACACTTGTTACAAAAGGGACATTAGAAGTTTCAAAATATGGCCGGCGTGGCAGCTCACACCTGTAATCCCAGCACTTTGGGAGGCAGGGGAGAGAGGATTGCCTGAACCCATGGGTTCAAGACTAGCCTGGGCAACTCGGCGAGACCTCGTCTCTACAATAAATTAAAAAAAAAAAAAAATTAGCCAGGCATGCTGGCACATGCCTGTAGTTCCAGCTACTTGGAAGGCTGAGGCAGAAGGATTGCCTGAGCCCAGCAGGTCAAGGCTGTGATGGCCGTGAGCGTGTCACTACACTCTAGCCTGGGTGACAGTGAGACTCCAACTCGAAGTTTCATACGATGACAACAGTTTTCCTTGGGTTGTAAAAATGAAAACACAAAATCTAAAAATGTGGGCTCTCAATAACAGACCTTCTGATCTTTAGGGGTTTGTGTAGGAGTACCTCGACAGGTTGAGGGTTAGTTGAATGTGGGCATGAGGGATTTTTTTTTTTTTTTTTTGTGGTCCAGAGATCTTTTATTTTTGACCCCTATTAAGCCTTGAATTCATAGGGAATAGGTTCCAGCAGCTGGGGCTCCTTTCCGATGGTTTTCACAAAGTGTGGGGCAGGCTGGCGCTTCAGTTGAACCCATGTTCCTTTCTCCTTGGCTTCCTTCTTTTCCTGGTCATTTTCCTTCATGCGTTTCAAGAAGCTATCTCGACTCTTCGAGTGCTTCATATGCTCAACACGCACATGAATTTTCTTGGCAAGAATCTTGCCCTTGTTTGTTAACAATGATGCCAACAGCATGCTGGGTGACATTATGGACTCTTCCTGTCTTGCCATGGAAACATTCGTGGGGCATTCCTTTCTGAACAGCACCCATTCCCTTGATGGCTGCAATATCACCTTTCTTGTAGATTCGCATGTATGTGGCCAAAGGAACAACTCCATGTTTTCTTTTCTTTTCTTTCTTTTTTGAGTTGGAGTCTCACTCTGTCGCCCAGGCTGGAGTGCAGTGGCACACTCCCAGCCACCGCAGCCTCGACCTGCTGGGCTCCGGCGATCCTTCCGCCTCAGCCTTCCAAGGAGCTGGAACTACAGGTGCGCGCTACCACGCCCGGCTAATTTTTGATTTATTGTAGAGATGAGGTCTCGCCAAGTTGCCCAGGTGGGTCTCGAACCCGTGGGCTCAGGCAGTCCTCTCACCTTGGCCTCCCAAAATGCTGGGATGACGGGCATGAGCCACTACGCCCGGTCTAACTCCATGTTTTCTGAACAGCATGGAGAACATGTAACCAGATGACCCTCCTCTTTCTCTTTGTGTTCATCATTTTGGCGAATTATTGGAAGATGGTGGTTCCGGTCAGCAGGAGGGACTTTTTTTTTCAAAGTTTAGAATGGCTTTCATTGAGAAGAAAAGTGGCTTCTGGCTCAGTATAAAATAGTCTAGGGGCCAGGTGCAGTGGCTCACAGCTGTAAATCCTCTCCTTTGGGAGGCCAAAGAGGGAGGATTGCTTGAGCCTAGGAGTTCAAAACCAGCTTAGGCAACACAGTGAGACCTTGTCTCTACAAAAAATAAAAATTAAAAAAAAGGAAAAAAATGGTGTCTCACTGTGTTGCCCAGGTTGGTCTTGAACTCCTGGACTCAAGCAATCCTGTTGCCTCAGCCTCCCAAAATGCTGGGATGGCAGGCATGAGCCACCACGCCTGGTCAGACTCTGATAGTCTCTAATCCTGAAAACTGCTGGCAGATGTGGTAAGTGGGAGCAGTGCATTTAAAAATTCTTTGAAAAGCTGATTTTTGCAGTTTGTGAGCGTCTCCCAAACTGTTCGCATTGTTTTATTTCCCCCGATCTAGTTGATCATGGCCTGGCCAGGTTGGTGACAGCGTATTGCGAGCATGGGCATAAAGCTGCCAAGATCAATCCCCTCTTCACCGGACAAGCCCTGCTGGAGAGCGTGCCTGAAATCCAAGCGCTGGTGCAGAGGCTGCAGGGACCCTTCCACACCGCAGGTATGGCTCGACCCGCCCGGGGATCAGAGAACTGCCCATGCGCTGGGGCTCCTTCCTCTGTCCATGAAGAACTGGTGTGTCCACTGAAGCTGAGGCTTCCCCGGGTGTGAGGAGACAAGGAGAGACATGGTCAAGTTCAAGTGCTCTCAGGGAGGAGCAGTCTTTTTTTTTTTTTCCTTTTTCTTTTTTTCCTACTCTGTGAGCTATAAGATTTTATTATTTCTTTTTGAGTTAGGGTCTCACTCAGTGACCCAGGCTGGAGTGCAGGGGCACAATCACAGCTCCTCACAGTCTTGACTTCCTGGGCTCGGGCAATCCTCCTGCCTCAGCCTCCCACTTAGCTGGGACTACAGGTGCATACCACCAAGCCCAGCTAATTTTTAAATTTTTTTTGTAGAGACAAGGTCTTGCTATGTTGCCCAGGCTGGTCTCAGACTCCTGAGCTTAAGCGATCCTCCTGCCTCAGCCTCCCAAGTAGCTGGGACTACACGTGTGCACCATCAACGCTCAGCTAATTTTTTGATTTTTTTGGATAGAGACGAGGGCTTGCTGTGTCACCCAGGCTGGTCTCAAACTCCTGAGCTTAAACCCTCCCCCCCGCCTCAGCCTCCCAAAGTGCTGACAATACAGGCGTGAGCCTTGGCACCCAGCCCAAGGATCAGTCTTGAGGTTCCAGAATGTTCTTCTATGTTCAAAAATACGTTGAACTCCTGTTACGTGCCAGATGCTTTAGGTATGTCAATTCATTTTCACAACCATTCTCCAAAGTAGTTATTATCATCTTTATTTTGTAGATGGGGAAACAGAGGCTCAGAGAACTTAAGTGACTCATAGCTGCTCAGCAGCAGAGGAGGGGTGATGACCCAAGGCTGTTCCCATTCCAAAGCCTGCACTTAGAAATTAAGTTGGGCAGGCCGGGCTCAGTGGCTCAGCCTGTAATCCCAGCACTTTGGGAGGCCGAGGTGAGTGGATTGCCTGGGCCCACGGGTTCAAGACCCGCCTGGGCAACATGGCAAGACCTCATCTCTACAATAAATCAAAAATTAGCTGGGCATGGTAGCACATGCCTGTAGTTCCAGGCTATAGGCCTGGAAGGCTGAGGTGGAAGGATCACCAGAGCCCAGCAGGTTGAGGCTGCGGTGGCCGGAAGCGGCCACTGCACTCCAGTCTGGGCGACAGAGTGAGACTCTAACTCAAAAAAAAAAAAAAAGAAATTAAGTTGGGCCTGCATGAGCAATCATGATTTTGGGATCCTACCTCATGTTATTTTTTATTTTTCACTATATTTTTATTTTTTGATTATTTATTTTAAGTTGGAGTCTTACTCTGTCACCCAGGCTGGAGGGTAATGGCACACTGTCAGTCACTGCAGCCTGAAGGATTGCTGAGCTCAGGCAATCCTTCTGTCTTAGCCTTCCAAGTTGCTGGAACTACAGGCACGTACCACCATGCCCAGCTAATATTTTTTTTTTTTTTTTGGTAATTTATTGTAGAGATGAGGTCTCGCCAAGTTACCCAGGCTGGTCTTGAGCCTGCGGGCTTAGGCAATCATCTCACCTGGACCTCCCAAAGTGCTGGGATTATGGACATGAACCACCATGCCTGGCCTATTTTTTATTTAGTTGAGTCAGGGGCCTCACTTTGTTGCCCAGGCTGGAATGCAGTGGTACGATCAAGACTTATCGGCAGCCTCAAACTCTCGGGCTCAAGCAGTCTTCCCACTTCAGCTTCCCAAGTAGCTGGGACTATAGGCACATGCCATCACGCTGGCCTCTTGTTCTTTTCTAGGGATTTCCCAAGCATTCCTGCCCTGTGAAGCAGAGCTTGCTGAGGTAGAATCCAGAGCTTGCTGAGGTAGAATGCAGTATTCCCTCATTTGTGTACTCATAGTACTCAGGGCAACTCTCAATAAAAGCAGAGGATGGGTGCAGCAGCTCACACCTGTAATCTCAACACTTAGGGAGGCAGATGCGAGAGGACTGCTTGAGCCTAGGAGTTCGAGACCAGCCTGGGCAACCTAGTGAGACTTCATCTCACCAAAAAAATTAAAAACTTAACCGAGTGTGTTGGTGCACGCTTGTGGTCCCAGCCACTCAGGAGGCTGAGGCAGAAGGATCCCCTGAGTCCGAGAGGTCAAGTCTGTGGTGAGCCATGATTGAACCACTGCACTTCAGCCTGGACTATAGTGTTAGACTTCAACTTAAAAAAAAAATCACATACCCAAACCAATAAATTACTTAACCTGACATCAGAATAAAGCCACTCTAAAATAGTCTCAAACCATCCAGCCAGCATTAGCCTAAAACATGAAGTTACTTCATGGCCACTCCAGCATTGACCCTCTGGGCTCCAGCGAGCCTTCCATCTCGGCTTTCCAAGTAGCCAAAACTATAGGCGCATGCTATCACACCCGTCTAATTTTTTGATTTCTTGTAGAGACGAGGGCTTGCCAAGTTCCCCAGGCTGGTCTTGAACCCACAGGCTCAGGTAATTCACTCCCCTTGGCCTCCCAAAATGCTGGGATTACAGGCTGAGCCACTGAGCCAGGCTAGTACATGTTTCTTACTGGTAAAGCAACTGGTCTATCTGACATTGTGTTGTCATTATTTGTTTATAAATTGTCCCTCATAGGCTCTGATCTTCCTTGAGTACTCTTTATCGTCCTGTTTGTACTTTCAAGGTCAACACAGCCCTTGCATGGAGTGGTGTCTCCAAGCTTGCCTATTGGATAAGAAAACTGTTGATGTTTCTCTGTAACTATGTGTCTTTAGAGCACTTCTGTTATAGGCCCAGATTCGGGGTATTTGAAATGCAGGTAGTTAATAAAAATAACAGAAAAAAAATGAGAATCCCAAAGCAAGTTTTTGATCTATATACTTGTCTGCATCGTCTCATTTAATCCCTTCTCTTTTTTTTTGAGTTGGAGTCTCACTCTGTTGTCCGGGCTGGAGTGCAGTAGCATGCTCACAACCACTGCAGCCTCGACCTGTTGGGCTCAGGCGATCCTTCCACCTCAGCCTTCCAAGTAGCTGGAACTACAGGCATGTGCCACCACACCCAGCTAATTTTTCTTGATTTATCGTAGAGATGAGGTCTCGCCAAGTTGCCCAGGTTGATCTCGAACCTGTGGACTCAGGCAATCCTCTCACCTTGGTCTCCCAAAGTGCTGGGATTATAGGCGTGAACCACTGTACCCACCTCAACTGTTTTTAAAAATGCTTTTATTGTAGTAAAATACACATCTCTTACCATTTACCACTTTAACCATTTTAAAGTGTACACATGATTCAATGACATTTAGTACATTAAGTGTTATGCAGCCATCAGTCTATTCCAGCACCCCATACCCATGAAACAGTCCCATCCACCCTTCGTTCCCCCCAGTCCTTGGCAACCCCTCATCTCTTCTGTCTCTCTGGATCTGCCTTTTCTGTACATTTTATATAAGCAGAGTCGTACAATATGTGGCCTTCTAGGCCTGGCTTCTTTGACTTAGCACACTGCTTTCAAGATTTGTCCACTCTGTAGCACGAATCCATACTTCCTTCCTTTACGTGGCTGAATAATATTCCATTGTACGTCTATACCATGCTTTGCTTATCCTTTCATCCCTGGACGGACATTTGGGTTGTGTCTGACCTCGCTTAGTCTTCACGACTACCCCCTCAGTGCCTCGATTGCCCCTGCTTTACAGATTACCAAGCAGGCAGACAGCTCTGTAGCATGGCAAGCGCTTTGTATAAGTTGAATGATCCATCAGTATCAGAGATCTGAAGTGGATTGTGGCAGATGGCGTCACCTGGAGCTTGTGAAGCTGCATGCAGGAATGGAAGACAATGGCCAAGAACAAATTAAGAGGGCCGAAGGTCTGCGTGTTGGCCTATGCCTCTAATCCTAGAATTTTGGGAGGCCAAGGTGGGAGGATCGTTTGATCCCAGGAGTTCAAGACCATCCTGGGTAACACAGCAAGACCTTGTCTCTACAAAAAATGTTTTTAAAAATTAGCCAGACGAGGTGGCCCACGTCTGTAATCCCAGCCACTCTGGAGGCTGAGGCAGAAGGATCCCCTGAGCCCAGGTAGTTGAGGCTGCAGTAAGCTGTGATCGTGCCACTGCACTCCTGTCTGGGTGACAGGAGTGAAACTTTGACTAATAAAACAAAAAAGTAAATAATTAATTTTTTAAAAAAGAGGACAGAAGTCCAGGAAAGCATTGAACATAGCCAGCCCCTAAAAACTTTAAGGCTAAAAAACAAAGCAAAACCAGATCTTGAGATTAACATGATACATGATGACAAAGTGAACAGAGTGGATAAACCTTTCGTCGCTATACCCAGGGAGCCTGCGTGCTTCTGAGAAGGGATTGCTCCTGGCCTCTGAAGTGGCGGGAAAGCGACCCGCTTAATGGTGGGGAAACTTTGAGGCGAGAATGGCTCAGCTGTTACTACCGTGGCGATCACCTGGTTCCCCCCAAAAGACCAATATGCTAAATGTTTAATACAAAAGTAAAATAAATGAAGTTTGTTGTAAGCAAGCTTAAAGGAAACGTTGGTTTGGAAAACCAGTGTGCTAAACTCAGGCAAGTAACTGGCATCCGATTGGATGCAGAGATAATGACATGTGCAGGCCTTCCCTCTATGGGCCGGAGATGCCAGGAGATTTCCTTCTACCTTAAAACATTGCATCGTTGGCCTGGCTCAGTGGCTCAGCCTGTCATCCCAGCACTTTGGGAGGCCAAGGCGAGAGGATTGCCTGAGCCCATGGGTTTAAGACCAGCCTGGGCAACGTGGTGAGACCCCGTCTCTACAAAAGAAAAAAAATTAGTTGGACGTGATAGCGCATGCCTGTGGTTCCAACTGCTTGGAAGACTGAGGCGGAAGGATTGCCGGAGCCTAGCTGGTTGACGCTGGGGTAGCCATGAGCGTGCCACTGCACTCCAGTCTGGATGACGAAGTGAGACTCCAATTCAAAAAAAAAGTTGCATCGTTATTAATATTAACTATATTTGTAGTCACATTAAGACTACAAATGTTGGCTAGGCATGGTGGCCCCTGCATGTAATCCCAGTGTTTTGGGAGGTACTTGAGGCTAGAAGTTCAAGATCAACCTGGGCAATGCAGTGACACTCTCTCCTAAATAAACAAATAAGGCAGTTCTTCACTAATAGATATTGCTTTGTTAAGACTTGAGTGTTTTAGCAGATATTTCAGGTAAAGATAGGACATATGATTTATAGCTGTAAAGCACATGACACACTAGGCAACATGGTGAGAACTTGTCTCTACAAAAAAATAAAAATATTAGCTGTGTGGTGGCGCGCACCTGTAGTTCCAGCTACTTGTGGGTCTGAGGTGGAAGGATCATCTGAGCTCGGGAGGTCAAGAGTGCTGTGAGTCATAATCTTGCCACTGTACTCCAGCCTGGAAACATAGTAAGATCCCATCGCAAAAAAAAAAAAAAAAAAAAGCCGGGCTCGGTGGCTCAGCCTGTAATCCCGCGCCTTTGGGAGGCTGAGGTGAGTGGATTGCCTGAGCCGGCGGGTTCGAGACCCGCCTGGGCAGCGAGACCTCATCTCTACAATAAATCAAAAAATCAGCCGGGCGTGGTAGCGCATGCCTGTAATTCCGGCTACTTGGAAGGCTGAGGCGGAAGGATCGCCAGAGCCCAGCAGGTCGAGGCTGCGGTGGCTGGGAGCGGCCACTGCACTCCAGTCTGGGCAACAGCGTGAGACTCCAACTCAAGAAAAAAAAAAACACATGAAAGGTAGGTTTCAAGTGTTAGTTTAAATCAAAACGCAGCATAAAGCAACAGGCATCTGTTCTTGTGAAGAAAGTATTTTTTTTCCCCTCTTCTGGTTTTACTACTTCTTGATCTTTGTCCATATTTTTGGTTTTAACTTTAGAAAAACTCTAGATAGCCAAGCACAGTGGCTCACACCTGTAATCCCAGAGCTTTGGGAGGCAGAGGGAGAGGATTGCCTGAGCCCACGGGTTCGAGATCAGCCTGAACAACTTGGCGAGACCTCGTCTCTACAATAAATCACAAAAAGTTAGCCAGGTGTGATGGCACACGCCTGTGGTTCCAGGCACTCCAGCCTGGGTGACAGAGTGAGACTCCGACTCAAAAAAAGAGAAAAATTCCAGACAGGCATTAATAATGACCCAAGTTATTAAGACCGAAGTGATCTGAATTGAAGTAATTATCTTGGAACGTTCCAGAATTCTTCTGCTACATGGTTGATCATTTTTCGAAATGACCCCTTTGATTCCGTTTCATAGGATTATTGGACATGGGGAAAGAGGAGGCCTCGCTTGAGGAAGTGTTAGCCTATCTCAACCAAATCTACTGTGGGCAGATCTCCATAGAAACTTCCCAACTTCAGAGCCAGGAGGAGAAAGACTGGTTTGCCAAGCGGTTTGAGGAACTGAAAAAGGAGACATTTACCACAGAAGAGCAAAAACATCTGTCAAAACTAATGCTAGAATCTCAGGTAAAAAGTAGCATCTAATATCAGTGGCATGGGTCAGTTCATTTCCCACAAAGATATGTGACTTTTTTTTTTTTTTGAGTTGGGGTCTCACTCTGTCTCCCAGGCTGGAGTGCAGTGGCCGCTCCTGGCCACCACAGCCTCGACCCGCTGGGCTCCGGTGATCCTTCCGCCTGAGCCTTCCGAGTAGTCGGAATTACAGGTACGCGCTACCACACCCGGCTGATTTTTTAATTTACTGTAGAGATGAGGTTTCGCCAAGTTGTCCAGGCGGGTCTCGAACCCGCAGGCTCAGGCAATTCACTCACCTCGGCCTCCCAAAACGCGGGATTACAGGCTGAGCCACCAAGCCCGGTGATATGTGACTCTTAAAGAGAGAAGCTAAGGCAGCATAGTGAGACCTCGTCTTTACAAAAAAATATAAAGTTAGCCGGGTGTGGTGGTGCATGCCTGTAATGCCAGCTACCTGGGAGACTGAGGCAGGAGGATGGCCTGAGCCCAGAAGGCTGAGGCTGCAAAGAGCTGTGATCATGCCATTGCACTGCAGCCTGGGTGACAGAGTGAAATACCGACTCAATCAATAAAATAAAATAAAAATAAAGAGAGAGAACGAAACCACCTTGCTCCCTTCTTTCCCTATTGCTTAAACACAACAGACAGGACAGGCGCAGTGGCTCATGCCTATAATCCCAGCACTTTGGGAGGCCGAGCTGAGAGGATTGCCTGAGCTCACAGGTTTGAGACCAGCCCAGGCAATTTGGCGAGACCTCATCTCTACATCGAAAAATTAGCTGGGTGTGGTGGTGCATGCCTGTAGTTCCAGCTATTTGGAAGCCTGAGGCAGAAGGATCACCTGAACCCAGCAGACTGAGGCTGTGGTGGCCATAAACTGCCACTGCCCTCCAGCCTGAGCAACAGAGTGAAACTCCAACTTAAAAACAAAACAAAACAAAACAAAAAAACACAACAGACAATATAACATACACCACGTTATTCTAAGTAGAAAAAAATAACTCGCCAAGCATTCATGCTATTGGTTTTCCTCAGAGTCAAAATACTTCTTTTTTTGTTTGTTTATTATTATTATTTTTTGAGTAGGAGTCTCATTCCATCACCCAGGCTAGACACTCATGGTGCACATTCACGACCACTGCAGCCTCGACCTGCTGGGCTCAGGCTATCCTTCTGCCTCAGCCTTCCAAGTAGCTGGAACCACAGGTGTGCACCACCATACATGGCTAATTTTTTTTTGATTTATTAAAGAGACGAAGTCTCGCCACATTGCCCAGGTTGGTCTCAAGCTCATGGATTTTGACAATTCTCTTTACTTCCCAAAGTGCTGAGATTACAGGCATGATCCACCACGACTGGCTTCAAAATACTTCTTATATATGTGTCTACTCACTCTATAAAAGATGACAAGATCCTTAAGATCTTACTTCTCTTTTATTACTTGAAGTGATCAAAAGACTATACATGGAAGAGACTCTCGGTACAAACGAAGGGAACAAGATCACAGGGCTGTGATCAGGACTCAGGCATGTCGAGATAACAAGAAGCCACTTCCCAATAGTTTGGGTAGTTGGATAGTTTGCAGTCTTGATTAAATAATACTGTACAGCCCTCTGTGAAAACAGAGGTACAGTAAGCCCCCTAACATACAAACCTTCAAGTTGTGAACTTTCAAAGATATGAATGTGCATTTGCACGTCCGATCACATAAATTAGTTCACATGCCTGATGTACATTGTCACATGCATGCATCCTCTATAAGTGGCTGTGCTTTTGTGTCCTACACAGTCCTGTATAGAATACAGTAGTACAGTATCTTTGTTTCAAACCCAGGATGTCTGGAAGCAAACACAAAAGCAGTGGTGACAGATGGCTCACGCCTGTAATCCCAGCACCCTGGGAGGTGGAGGCTAGAGGATTACCTGAGCCCAGGGGTTCCAGACCAGTCTGGGCAACTTGGCAAGACCTTGTCTTTACACAAAATCAAAAAATTAGCTGGGCATGATGGCACACACCTCTAGTTCCATCTACTCAGGAGGCTGAGGCAGAAGAATCTCCTGAGCCCAGCAGGTCGAGGCTGCAGTGTCTATGAGCATGCCACTGCCCTCCAGCCTGGGCAACAGCATGAGACTCCAACTCCAAAAAAAAAAGTGATCATGGAGCTGGCACATACTACCATGTGTTAGTTGGGCACTAATGCTAACTTCGTTGGACTTAAACGATCAAATTGGACTTATGAACACACTATGGAAACGGAACTCGCTGGTATGTCAGAGACATACAATGCTGGGAGAGGCAGCAGGAATCTGAGGCTTGGTTCCTGGTCTAGAATATCATACGTTCTCAGGGGTTCCCTGGGGACAAGTTATTCTGCCACTCAGGTTATTCCCTTGCAGCCCGTTCTGCTGTCTAGCGTCCTTAGCAGAGCCTTCCTGCTGGATCCTGTGTTCCTTCTGTCCCTCTGGGATACATAGTGAAGGGGTCCTGCTGTGGCCACTTGGATGGCGTGGGGACTTCTCACCACACACGTAGACTTGTCTGCCTGCCACCTGGGCCGCTGGCCATCTGCCACCGCTCATGTGTCCGACGTGATATTCCACAGGCGTTTGACCACTTTTTGGCCACCAAGTTTGCCACGGTCAAGCGATACGGGGGTGAAGGCGCTGAAAGCATGATGGGCTTTTTCCATGAGCTGCTGAAGATGTCAGCCTATGGTGGGATCACCGACGTCATCATCGGGATGCCCCACCGAGGGAGGCTGAACTTACTGACGGGCCTTTTGCAGTTCCCTCCAGAGGTAAGGTCACGGTGTTTCCCACCGGCGCTGTGCAGTTGACTGTAGCAGAAGAAAGCTAATGGTGGTCATTCCTTCTAGAAAGCCAGCTAAGCTTATGAGCAGTGAGCCCAGGAGAGGTAGCTTAGTTAATTGATAGAACTGGCAGTTAGGTTGATTTTCTTTCTTTTTTCTTTTCTTTTCTTACGTAGAGAAAAAGGTTTCACTGTGTTGCCCAGGCTGGTCTCAAACTCCTGGGCTCAAGCAGTCCTCCTGCCTCGGCCTCCCAAAGTGCTAGGATTACAGGCATGAGACACTGTGCCTAACCAGTTAGATTGATTTTCTTTTTTTTTTTTTGAGTTGAAGTCTCACTCTGTTGCCCAGGCTGGGGTGCGGTGGCACGCAGGCTCACAGCTATCCCAGCATTGACATGCTGGACTCCGGCAATCCTTCCGCCTAAGCCTTCCAAGTAGCTGGAACTACAGGCGCACATTACCATGCCCGGCTAATTTTTTTTTTCTTCATTTATTGTAGAGATGAGGTTTTGCCAAGTTGCCCGGGTTGGTTTTGAACCCGCAGGCTCAGGCAATCCACTCGCCTCAGCCACTCGGCTCAGACTGAGCCACGGAGCCTGGTCAGGTTGATTTCCATGTATTCTTTCTTTCTTTCTGTCACTCTTTTTTATTTTTTATTTTTGAGTCGGAGTCTCACTCTGCTGCCCAGGCTGGAGTGCAGTGGCATGTTCATGGCCACAGCAGTCTCAACCTACTGGGCTCAGGTGATCCTTCCGCTTCAGCCTTCCAAGCTGGAACCACAGGCATGCACCATCATGCCTGGCTAGTTTTTTGTTTTTATTTATTGTAGAGATGAGATCTTGCCATGTTGCTCAGTCTGGTCTTGAATCGCTCATTTTTTTTTTTTTAGAGATCAGGTCTCATTCTGTCACCCACACTGGAGTGCAGTGGCATGATCATAGCTCCTATAGCCATGAACTCCTGGGTTCAAGTGATCCTCCCACCTCAGTCTCTGGAGAAGCTACGTCTACAGGCACACATCACCATACCCAGCTAATTTAAATTTTCTTTTGTAGAGATGGGGTCTCACTATGTTGCTAAGCCTGGTCTTGAACTCCTGGCCTCAAGTGATCCTCCTGCCTCAGCCTCTAAAAGTGTTGGGATTATAGATTTGAGACACTGTGCCCAGCCTATGATTTTCTATATATTCTTTTTTTTTTTTTTTTGAGTTGGAGTCTCACTGCGTCGCCCAGGCAGGAATGCAGTTGCACACTCACAGCCACTTCAGCGATGACCTGCTGAGCTCTGGCGATCCTTCCGCCTCAGCCTTCCAAGTAGCTGGAACTACAGGCATGCACTACCGTGCTTGGCTAATTTTTTGTTTTTGTAGAGATGAGGTCTCGCCAAGTTGCTTGGGCTGGTCTTGAACCCATAGGCTCAGGCAATCCTTTCGCCTTGGCCTCCCAAAGTGCTGGGATTACAGACTGACCCAGAGCCCAGCCAATTTTCTATATATTCTTATGTGGATTATTTTTTCTCTTAAGGTAAAGTTTAGTTTGTTGCCTCAAGGATGATGTAAGTAAATAAATTCTATTTTTCTTTTTTTTAATTGCCAGACAGGTAATGTGCCAACATTGTAACAAGGTTTGAGGGTGGCCTAACTTACACACATGCGTCAATACCCAATCACCACACTTATGAACTACAAAAGGACCAAATTCTGCTTTTTGAAGTATGCTTGGCTTATTTAATACAAATTGTTCAGATAAACACAAAGATCTATGCAATCACATACAGTTTTACCTCCCAAGATGACATGGACCTATTTATTTGCAGAGTTTAGAGTTAATAGATCATACTAAACCACCCAAGGGAGTGGTGTTGTAAGTAACTGGATCTTGGTATTCCTGTGCAGCCCAACTCAGCTGCTTTGTAAATCTCTCAAAAGACTTGAGCATCAGGATGAAGATGTTTATGTCAGGGAATATCAGAGAGACCTGATGTTTAATGAGATTGCGACCATGATACATGGATAAACCTCGCTATTGTTCTAGGCCAGGAGATTTAAAATAATTATAAATGGTAAAGGGCGTGCTGAAGTTAGATGGGTGAGCAGAGCTCACAGAAGGGTGCATTAGCCATTAGTCTGTTAGGAAATACATGTGCAGGCTGGGCACGGGGGCTCACACCTATAATCCTAGCGCTTTGGGAGGCCGAGGCAGGAGGATTGACTACCCTGGGCAACATAGTGAGACCTTATCTCTAAAGAAAATTTAAAAAAAAAAAATTTTTTTTTTTTTTAGTTAGAGTCTCATTCTGTATCTCAGGCTGGAGTGCAGTGTCATGCTCGTGGCCACCACAACCTTGATCTGCTGGGCTCAGGCAATCCTTCTGCCTCAGCCTTCCAAGTAACTGGTACTATAGGCCTGCACTACCACACCTGGCTAATTTTTGATTTATTGTAAAGACGAGGTCTCACCGTATTGCCTAGGCTGGTCTCAAACCCATGGGCTCCGACAATCCTCTCGCCTCCACCTCCCAAAGTGCTGGGATTACAGGTGTGCGCTACCATGCCTGTCTAAAAAAAATTGTTTTTAATTAAAACAAAATTTTTAAAAAGAAAATACACATGGTGTTGTTTCTCAGAGCTCAGCTTTACCACGATTTCTCATGCATTAGTTTTTCCAATATTAAGAGATTGATACTCAGCTTTTTTTTTTGAGTTGGAGTCTCACTCTGTTGCCCAGGCTGGAATGCAATGACACGCTCACGGCCACTGCAGCCTCGAGCTGCTGGGTTCAGGTGATCCTTCCACCTCAGCCTTCCAAGTAGATGGAACTACAGGCACACACCACCATGTCCAGCTAATTTTTTGATTTATTGTAGAGATGTGGGCTCCAGCAATCCTCTCATTTGGCCTCCCAAAGTGCTAGGATTATAGGCGTGAGCCACTGTGCCTTGCCAATACTCAGCTTTTTTTTTTCTGTTCATATCTACTTAATTAGGCTTCAAAGAATTTGAGTAAATCAGTTTGCCAAAAATCTAGTATAGTATAAAATAAGGGTGCTGATGAAAAATCAATACTCAGTTTTTAAGAGACAAGTAACTTAGACAAGGTGCGCTGTGACAGCTTGAAGGGATTGGTCAATGGGGCAAGTGCTTGAATACACACAGGAATTCTTGGCAAAACTGCATTCCTAAGATCTCCCCGACCCAAAAATGACTCCAGGATGCAGAAATGATTATGGCTGGGTACACTGGTGTGTGCCTGTAATCCCGGCTACTCAGGAGGCTGAGGCAGGATGATCCCTTGAGGCCAGGATCTGAAGAACAGCCTGGTCAACATAGTGAGACTCCATCTCTTAAAACAAAAGGAAAGAAGAGAAGAGAATGGATTATGAATGATCACATTTGCGAGACGCGCGTGTGCACCTACACTGTGTGAGTACGTGTGTTCATGTTTGCAGATAAGTCCAGAAGAAGAAGTTTCAAGCTAGCAAAGCTTTTGGGTCGTTCAAAGAATTTGGAGAATTTAGAATAACTTCGGCCTGTAATCCCAGCACTTTGGGAGGCTGAGGCGAGTGGATTGCCTGAGCCTGTGGGTTCAAGACCAGCCCGGGAAACTTGGCAAAATCTCTGCCAAGACTCTGCATATCAAAACTTAGCCATGTGTGGTAGCACACACCTATAATTCTGGCTACTTGGATGACTGAGGCGGAAGGATCGCAGGAGCCCAGCAGGTTGATGCTGGGGTGGCCTTGAGTGTGCCACTGCACTCCAGCCTGGGCAACGGAATGAGACTCTAACTCAAAAAAAAAAAAAAAAGAATAACTTGGTGTTTTTGGCAAATACCTTGGTTTGAGACCCAGCTTTGTTACTTACTAGCTGGGAACTTTTAACCATTTATTTAACTTCTCTTTGTTTTCAAAATGGGTGATAACACCTGTCTCATAGAAGACTGAAAATAAAGCTGAGAACATTTGCAGAGAAATGTTTTGAGAACTGGCCAGCATAATTCTGTAAGTCTGAGCTAAGCAGTATGTGTCATCCTTGTCAAGATGGAATTACATCCTATTTTGTTATTTTCTTCTCTAACTTTAATGAAATTAACACCAATTTCTTTTTGGAAAATATATTCTAACAGATATATTTTTAAAAAGATAGACCCTGACATGGTGGCTCATGCCTGTAATCTCAGAACTTTGGGACACTGAGGCAAGAGTATTGCTTGAGCCCAGGAGTTCAACACCAGCTTGGGCAACATCACAAGACCCTTCCTCTTTTAAAATACATTTTTTTTTTTAGTTGGAGTTTCACTCTGTCACCCAGACTGGAGTGCAGGGGCACGCTCATGGCTATCGCAGCCTCGACCTGCTGGACTCAGGCGATCCTTCTGCCTCAGCCTTCCGAGTAGCTGGAGCTGGTGCACACCACCACGCCCAGCTAACTTTGGTTTATTGTGGAGACAAGGTCTTGCCAAGTTGCCTGGGCTGGTGTCGAACTCCTGGGCTCAAACAATCTTCCCGCTTCGGCCTCCCAAAATACTGGGATTATAGGTGTGAGCCACTGCACCCAACTAAAAGAAATATTTTTTAAAAGTTGTACTTAGCCGGGCTTGGTGGCTCAGCCTATAATCCCGCGCCTTTGGGAGGCTGAGGTGAGTGGATTGCCTGAGCCTGCGGGTTCGAGACCCACCTGGGCAGCAAGACCTCATCTCTATAATAAATCAAAATGAGCCGGGTGTGGTAGTGTGCGCCTGTAGTTCCAGCTACTCGGAAGGCTGAGGCGGAAGGATCGCCGGAGCCCAGCAGGTCGAGGCTGTGGTGGCCGGGAGCGGCCAATGCACTCCAGTCTGGGTGACAGAGTGAGACTACAACTCAAAAAAAAAAATTAAAAATAAAATAAATAAATAAATAAATAAAATAAAAGTTGTACTTATTGCTAGATAGGGATTCCTTGCTACTTGTCACATGTTAGACTCCTCTTAATATGTTGGCACTTCATTTGATTCTGAGGATTTCCAAGTAGTTCTCAACAATCCAACAGTTAGAAGTCTGTGCCTGCCGGGCTTAGTGGCTCAGCCTGTAATCCCGCGCCTTGGGAGGCTGAGGTGAGTGGATTGCCGCCCCCTTTTCCCTGGTCTCCCTTGTGATAAAAGACATTTCTTTCCTCGTCTGCATTTTCCTAATAGCTGATGTTTCGCAAAATGCGAGGCTTGAGTGAATTTCCAGAGAATTTTGCAGCCACTGGAGATGTTCTGTCTCACCTGACCTCCTCCGTGGACCTGGACTTTGGGGCGCACCACCCCCTCCACGTGACAATGCTGCCTAATCCCTCGCACCTGGAAGCTGTCAACCCTGTGGCTGTCGGGAAAACTCGTGGCAGGCAGCAGTCACGACAAGACGGGGACTACTCTCCAGAAAGCTCAGCGCAGCCTGGGGACAGAGTCATTTGCTTACAGGTAGCTGGAGGTCCAGGAAGGGAGGTCAGAGGTGGGAAAACTGGGGAGAAAGAATGCGTGGGTTGGTAGAGCTGAGCAGAGATTGCAGACGTTCAAGATGAAACTGAGGTGACCTTCTGGGGAAAGGATATTCTGCACTTGTTTTAAAAATTCATGGCAGCTGGGCGCGGTGGCTCACGCCTGTAATCCCAGTACTTTGGGAGGCAGGGACGAGAGGATTGCTTGAGCCCAGGGGTTTGAGACCAGCCCGGGCAACATATATATATGGTGGCTCACGCCTATATATATTCCATGATATAGAATTTCTAAATAGAAATCATCAAATCATTAGCCAGACATTCTCTCTACTTTTCATTTAATTCATAATACTCCAAACTATTTCAATCATTCTCATCTGCCTTATATTGGCTGATCTTAAGACTTTTGAAGCCTCGACCTGCTGGGCTCAGGTGATCCTTCTGCCTCAGCCTGGCTAATTTTTTGATTTACTGTAGAAACGAGGTCTCCCTGCGTTGCTCAGGCTGGTCTCAAACCCCTGAGTTCAGGCAATCCTCTTGCCTCTACCTCCCAAAGTGCTAGGATTATAGACGTGAGCCACCTCACCTGTTGATAGTAGCCCTTTATTTTTATCTTTTTAGTCGGGGTCTCACTCTGTCACCTAGACTGGAGTGCAGTGGCTCTCGCTGCTCACTGTAGCCTCAACCTCTTCTAATGTCTACAATTCTCTCATTATTTGCTTTAAACTTAAAAAATAATTTCCCCTTCCCTACCACTTTGTCTACCAGGTTTTGGGATGATACTGTAATCTCGTGACTTCCAATGTTCTAGAAGGATTGCACATTGTAGATATATTATTCTCTCATAATAATATTTTGTAAAATCAGAAAATTAGCCAGGCGTGATGGTGCGTGCTTATTATACCAGGTACTTGGGAGGCTGAGGCAAAAGGATTGCCTGAGTCTGGGAGGTGGAGGCTGAGGTGAACTGTGATTGTGCCACTGCATTCCAACCGGGGCGACAGAGTGAGACTCCAACTGAAAATAAGTAAATGAAATAAAATTTTAAAAAACATTTAAAATAATTTAACATTTTGGTTTTTCCTCAAGCGCTCTTTCCACGTACGTGTAACTTGTTTTCCCCCTACTTCCTAGGCTCTGACGTCCCTTCACTCTGCTTTATGTCCAAATGGCACCGAGGATTAGGTGACGGGAACTGCCCACAGGCTCTGGCAAGGGAGGTGTGTCAGCACTGCGCCCTCTCCCTGTTGTCTTGCGGGCTGTTTGCATGCCAGGTTTCCTAGAGCTGTTTCCTCTTTGAGCCTCCAATAGCTGTGACTCTCTGTACCTGAATATTTGCTCATGTCATATGTGATGAGCACTGGTGGTGACATGGGCAGGCGAAATGGGTCACCTGATGGCAGCTGCCAAAGGAAAAGACTTATTGAGCATCTTTTTTTTTTCTTTTTTGAGTTGGAGTCTCACTCGGTCGCCCAGACTGGAGTGCAGTGGTCACTCCCGGCCACCGCAGCCTCACCTGCTGGGCTCCGGCGATCCTTCTGCCTCAGCCTTCCGAGTAGCTGGAGTTACAGGCATGTGCTACCACGCCCGGCTGATTTTTTTTGGATTTATTGTAGCGATGAGGTCTCGTTGCCCAGGCGGGTCTTGAACCCGCGGGCTCAGGCAATCCACTCACCTCAGCCTCCCAAAGGCATGGGATTACAGGCTGAGCCACCGAGCCCGGCTGAGCATCTTTTTTTTAAAACAAAAATTGATGTTGGACAACCCTTTCGGGACCCCTCCCACTACTGGGAGCTTTTCCATCCTCTAACAAAATTCCTACTTCCTCAAAAAAAAAAAAATTGATGTTATGTAATTAGAGATGAGGTCTGGCTGTATTGCCCAGGCTGATCTTGAACTGGGCTCAGCCTCCTAGATACTGGGATTACAGGTGTGAGCCACCGCACTCAGCCCGATAGAGCATCTTTGAAAGCTGCTTTTAAGATCAGTCTAACCATTCTAGGAAGTCTTATTCTCGCATTTTTAGGACAGCAGTGGGGTAGTGAGAGTGTGGTTGCTTTCATTCCTGGTAGCATTTTAAAACAACTTATTCCAGTCTGAAAACCTAAAGTTCTTAAGTCTACATGTTCCTTTTCTTTTTCCCCCTGTGATTTAGGTTCATGGGGATGCTTCTTTCTGTGGTCAAGGGATTGTTCCTGAAACATTCACGCTCTCCAACCTCCCACATTTCAGAATTGGGGGGAGTATCCATTTGATTGTCAATAACCAGCTGGGTTACACCACTCCGGCAGAAAGAGGAAGGTCTTCTTTATACTGCAGTGACATTGGTATGTAACACGGGGCAGGGGACAGTGGAGGACAGGGGGTATGTTGCTGGGCCCAACAAGGACGTCCTGAAGTCTTGGGGTGACCCCTCAATGCAAGGAGATGAGACAAGGATGGAGCCGAGAGTGTGCCATCCTCAATTCATCTGAAATAGCCCCATGAAGGATCTGGTAGAGGCTGGAGTTCAGCACAGCTAGGAGAGCACTACAGGAATTAGTTTTAGGATGTTCAAACTTGGAGCACCTAAGATCTTAGGCAAAAAGAACATGTTCATCAGATGCGGTGGCTCACACCTGTCATCCCAGCACTTTGGGAGGCTGAGGTTCGAGACCAGCCTGAGTAACATGTCGAGACCTCATCTCTACAATAAATCAAAAAATTAACCAGGCATGGTGGCACATGCTTGTGATTCCAGCTACTTGGAAGGCTAAGGCAGAAGGATCGCCTGAGCCCCACAGGTCGAGGCTGTGGTGGCCGGGAGCATGCCACTGCCCTCCAGCCTGGGATACCAAGTGAGACCACCTCAAAGAAAAAAAAAAGGAAAGGACATGTTCGTCAGGTGCCATGGCTCACACCTGTCATCCCAGCACTTTGGGAGGCTGAGGTGAGCCCACAGGTTGGAGACCAGCCTGAGTAACATGGTGAAACCTCATCTCTACAATAAATCAAAAACTTAACTGGGCTCGGTGGCTCAGTCTGTAATCCCGCGCTTTGGGAGGCTGAGGTGAGTGGATTGCCTAAGCCCGCGGGTTTGTGACCTGCCTTGGCAACTTGGTGAGACCTCACCTCTACAATAAATCAAAAATTAGCTGGGCATGGTAGCACACGCCTGTAGTTCCAGCTAC